AAGGAGCAATAGAATGCCACATGAGGGCTATGTCGACCTCATCACGAACGATGAACCTAGATTCCACTTGAACATGCCCGTTAGCGAGCTCACCGAGTGCGTCACTCGAGCCATCAAGGCAAGTGATGTCAGCTTAGCCCTCCAGTTGCAGAAACTGCGGATGGGGTAATGATCACAAAGACGAGCCGACCATCGACCGGACCTTGCTATGCATGGGGCTCGAGGAAAGTTGGACTCGCAAGGAGACCGAATGCGCGGTCATGGAACATTGGCTCAGATCCTAGGGATGGAGTACGCGTGAAAACTAAGAATAGTTTCGCTATCCTCTCCTTGATCTTCAGTGACACCCGACCCCTGCAATGGCAAGGGGTCGGGTCTCACTCGGGGGCTGATAAGGGTATATATACACCCTTTCTAAAATAGTCACCGTACCTGACCCCTTCCTCACGTTAAAAAACCTACTAGCAAGGTTCGTGAAAACAAACGACTGAGTAAGGCTGGTCGGACTGCGAGAAACTTACGCCCTAGCAGCTACGGCACTCTTGCTTACCAGCATGATCAGAGTTTCCCTCCTACACCTTGAACTCTATGGTCTTAACAAACGGAAGGGTCGGAACGCATTAACCCATTTTCACACATAAAAACAGAGAAAAAACAAATTTGTTCACACCGAAACAAAAGAATAGATTTGATCAAACGAAATGATAAATTTGTTTAAACAATACAGAAGGGTCAGAACTTGTCCGCTTGTTACAAGAATGACCACCCGACCTATCTAACTAACTAGCCCCTCTAGAGAACTATGTCTTCTATCTTATCCGCTAGGTCCTGCAAAAGGGGAGCCGCCACCGTCTCCATCTTCTTCAGCTCATGGACTTCATAGCCCGACGCGTAGCTGTGGCTCATTGCCTCCAAATCGATGCTATCCCCATAATGAGAATGAGCAATCATGAAGGACTGATTGACCCCGGCGCTAAGGGCACTCCTCTCGAGCTGGTGCACCCGAGCCGTGATCTCAACGGCACGGGCCACGAGCGAGCTGGTCCCCTCTGACCGCACCACCTGAAGGTCATCGTAGACCACTCCGAGGGCGGTGGTCAAGATACCGAGCTCGTCACTTTCCGCCAGAAGATTCCTCCCCACCTCGGCGAGGTCCACAGCTAGCCCGGGAGAAAAGCTCTCGGCCTCCAGCTTCTAGGTCATCGCGCTTTCGAGCTCGGCCTAGAGTGAGCTAACCTTCTGTTGCGCGTCGTCGCGCTCTTGGCAGGCCTGGTCATGCTCTCAGAAAGCCTGGTCACGCTCCTCATGAGCTAGGTCACATTCCAAGCGGAGCCTCTCTGTGGTTTGGAGCAGTTCACCCGCTCCTTAGGCAGCCGAGCGACCGCCACGGCCTCTAGGCTCGCCCTCTTCTCCAGGGTCACGAGCTTCTCCTCAGCCCCCAGCTTCAGTTCCCTTTCCTTCTCAACCTTGGCCAGAAGGTCAAGGATTCGATGGCGGGTCTCGGTGTCCTTCTAGAGCAACTCATCCTGCTCCTTCCTGACCCTAGCAGTTTCCTCGTTGTCCTTCCGCGCCTTGCCGACAGGGCCTCGAACACCTTCTCGGCCTCATCAACGTCCCAACGGGCCTCGGCCACCCACGACCAATGATTGTCTGCCTCCTCAGTGAGGGGAGTCAGCTCAGCCACCCTCTACTGGGCGGCGACAAGCTAAGCTGTTACCTCCTCGCATAGCCATGCCTCCTCTATGAGGCGGTCCCAGGCCTCCTTCTGGTGATGAAGGAACTGAGATTTCCCCCAGTTGCGAGCTATGAGGGACTGCAGGAAGACGATGTTCAGGATACAGAAAGCATATAAAGAAGGATAAGGGCAAAAAGCAGGACCAAGCAATACCGGCCAGAGGGAACGACGACGTCGCGCAATGCGCCCGTGGCGTGGTTCAGGGCCTCGAGCATGAACGCGATCCCTACGTCGAGGCTCTCCCGCCCCATGCTCTTGGCGGCATCATCAAGGGTGAAAAGCATCGACGCCGGATCCTCTGGAGTCGTCCACCGGAGCAGGGGCTCGCCCCGTGTAGGTGAGCCGCTACCCACCGACGTCAGGGCTAGGGACGACTCTCCATCGGCTCCAAGCGCCGCTGATCCTTCTTGTCGTGACGTCCCCACCGAGACGCCTCCTCCAGCGATGGAAGAGGTCAGCGGTGTGGATGCCGACCCCTCTCCCAGCACCATGACTCCCGAGGATCCCTCGATCACGTCCCCCTCCGTCCGGCCCACGTTAGGCGCCATCACTTGGGCCACCGACACCGCTGCGGTTGCGCTCGGCGGTGACCCATCCATCACAGTCACCGCCACCTCCACTTGCGTCGGTGGGGTCATGACCGGCTGTGTCGCGTCCACCACGGTCGGCGCCATGAGCGTGGTTGGAAGCCTCGTCCACCCCATCATCGGCAGTGGTATCGCAGCCATCGCCAGTTGCTCCGTGACCTCCGAAGGCGCACCTTGAGCCCCTGCGTCTGTCCATCCCACCAATGGCACGGGCGCCACCGTAGGCAGCACCTGACTGCCCGACGACACAGTCACACTGGTGTCGCTCCTGCCCGAAACGGGTGCGACACTAGCCAACGGCTGCCACCTCAATTGGAGGGCGACGCTCTTTTTCGGCGTCAGCGCCAAAGGATTACGCTGCCTACCAACGCTACAAGGGATGAAAAACATAAGTCACAATGAAATCCGACCAAAATAAGGAAAAATAGAGGAACTGACAACTCACCTCAGTGTTGTCGGGTGACCGATGCGTTTGGGGGCGAACCCTCCGACCTTTGCTCCACCTCTTCGGAGCGAGGCTATTTCGAGCCCGCCCCCTGCTCCTGGACAAAGGGGCTCGCTCCCCTTGGCTCTTAGGGCACGCCGGTGGAGCCGTCCGCCTCCGCTGGCACCTCGGGCACGATGGTAGAGCCACCCGCCCCTGTTGACTCCTAGGGTAGACCGACGGTACGTCACACCACCGCTGGCTCTCCGGACGTACCCTCCCCTCCGTGGAACGAGAAGGGTCCCGACACCTGCAAGGACGAACTAATACCTGTCAGTGCATCCTCATTCTCCAGGATGTCCCACTCGATACCGTCGACTACCTCATCATCATCTCCATCTTTATCATCATCATCGTTGTCAGTGTCCTCCCCTCGTTCCTGCGCCTGTAGCTTCCGCTGCCTCTTTCTCTTCATGTCCTCCTTTGCCTTCCTCAGCCACTCACCCTCGGTGCGATTCGCCGTCCTCAGGGCCGAATCCCTCAGCAACAGCGTCAAGGGCGACCTCTGGGGGAGGTCTCCGCCTCGCCCGACCCCAAGGCCGCGGACTCTGCTTCACCCGACGGAGACCCATACCGTCGTCAACCACTTCAGGTCCAAGCGTATGAGCCTGGGTCAAAACTCTGACACCAGGGAAGAGACCGACATGTCCTGATGTAACATGTGGCCACGGGGGACCATACCGGAGGGTTTACATCAAGAATAGCGTTGGGACGTACCGATGCTGTTCTGTCTAACTCCCGTACGAACACTAGCAGACGTGTCAGCTCACCATGACATCCGCTGCGACGGAATGGAACGCCATGACCGGCAGACGACGTTTCCAGTGGTGAATGGGGCCGCGACGTGGAGCTGTCCCTGTTGACATCTATAGGGTCAACGGGACCTGCATGAAGGATAAGAAGAACCCGATGGTCCTGAAAGCTATCCTCTCCCTCTTGTTTCTTCTCTTTTCCTCCGCTATAACCCGTGCTTTTCCTTGTCTATAAAAGGAAAAGTAGGACGTCCTATGGAGGAAGACAAAAAAAAATCAGATCCGATCGAACCATCACGAACCCATCAAACCTCGAACCGATCAGAACACAACACAAGCACACGGTCGAGCAACAATCGAGCTCTCGGCACCCGTTCATTCTTTCCACCAGAGACTTGGGCATATCCCTCTCTCGCTTGTTTGTAACCCCTACTATAAACTTTTGGTGCTAGTAACACGAGCAACAACAATGAACTGGACGTAAGAATATTCTGCCCGAACCAGTATAAACCTCGTGTACTCTTAGCACACCATCCGAGCCAGACGCGCAATACTAGAAATTTACTCGTTGGTGGTAACTCGAAACACCGACGAGTTTTTTTCCCTAAAATTTTGTCCATATCCCATCAGATATTTGACACATGCATAAAATATTAAATATAGACTTAAAAATAATTAATTGTGAATAATTTGCCACACGAAATTTTTAAACCGCAATTATTGCGGCCGCTGGGATTTGCGAGCGTCACCGCAATAATTTCGTCTTTCGCCGGACGCGGACCTCCCGTGCCGAGCCAGCCGTCCGCCCCGCATCGGACGGCCCACCGCGCACGCAAGTCAACAACCTCCAACGCCGCACCCGCGCGCCAGCCAGCCCGTGGGGTAGGGTAGCCAAGCGGACGCCAGCGCGAGCCGCTTTAGCATTGATCAATTGGAATAATTCGTGGTGCAATCCAGCAAAACCGAACGGGTCCTTGGAGAGGCGCGGGCCCGGGACGGGTTCCGGCCGCTGATCTGTGATCGCGCGGACGGGAGCTGCGGGGGCGGCCCACGCTGGTTGCTGCGGGCTTTGCCCTTTTGTGGCCCACCACGGCAAGAGGCAGGAGAGGGATCCCGTCCGCGTCCATCCACCGCCCGTGGGAAGGCAAGGGAAGAGCAGCGAGCGTCGCAGGCATCGGCCCCAGCTCCGGCTCCGCCCGCCGCCGCACCGTTCCCCCTCTTCCTCCCCCGATCCGATCGCCGATCGCCGCCCCTCGCCTCGCCTCGCGGCAATATTTGGAACCCCCGTTACCGATCATCTGATGCCGTACCACTGACCGATCCGCTCCCCCACCCCCACCCCTTTACCCCCACCTCCGCCGCCGCCGTTCCCGCAGTCACCTCCGCCTTTCGTCTGCTACCCCGTCGAGGCTCTACCTCCCGATCGGACTAGGGTGCGGACGATGGCTAGCAGCGCCGACCCGCATGTTGCCGTTGCCGGGGCCGGGACGCCCCCGTCCGATAGCCCGGTTGGGGCAAAGAAGGCTGGGGCGGCGGCCGCCGTCTGGAAGCTCCCCGCTGGCGCGACGGTGCCCGTCGCTGTGGCGGTTGAAAGCCCCATCATGGACGCGGACTCCTGGCCGGCGCTGCCCGGGCTGGTCTCTCCGCCGCCGCCGGCTGCGGGGCCAGCGGCCAAGGCGTCCCCTAAGGCCGCGTCTCCAGCTTTCACTGTGAGTTGATACCAGTGTTTGATATAGAGGACCTTGAAATTTGGTAATATCATTTGATCAGATTGGGTTTTACTGTTGTTGCAATGGTGTCAGGCGGCGGTGATGTCGCCGCCCTCTTTGGGCAATCCCGGCGCTCCGGATGCTAACCCTGGAAATGAGGCTCCGGTGCGCAATCCTGTGGCCCGGCGTGCCCTGGTGATGCCTGCGGCGGATGGGCTGGAGAAGAGTGCCCCTGCACCGGAACCGTCCCCTGTTTATGTGCCTAATAATGCCCGGAGCAACGGCGCAGATCCTCATCAGAATGGACGTTTTGGCTCCCACCCCCATGGCCGAGGTGGTGGCTATGGTGGGGGAAACAGGAGGGGTAATGGTGGAGGTGGTGGGCGACGTGGGAGTGAGCACCACGGGGGTTTTGATGGACAACGGCGCGGAGGTGGCCGCAGAGATGGGCATGGACCAGTTCATCAGCAGCGTGGCCATCAGCCAACATACATTAGGGCTCCTCCTACTCTGGCTGTTGTAGCAGGAGCACCTCCGCCGCCGCCGCCATTTGTTAGCCCCGCTACTCCTCAGACACCGCCTTATGGGGCACCTATGGGCTTCCCTGGTATGTTCTTGTGCATGTGGTTTATGAGATCATGGGCATGTGCCATTGTTATATTACATTAATTTGCTTGTTGAAAATATCAGACATAGCACCGCATGTTTACTATTTTGCGGCACCCACCTCGGAAGGCATTCAAGGCCTGCCTTTTGTGCCTCATCCAGCAAGCCCCCAAGCTGTTTTAATTGACCCTTTCCAAAAGGGTCTTCTGGAGCAGATAGAATACTATTTCAGGTAGTAGCTCGTCTACATTTTGGGAATCCTTTTTTTTAATAAAAACTGTGAAGATGTTCAGATCAATTTCTTGATCCACTTGTGAACTATTGCAGTGATGCCAATTTGTGTAAGGACCTATACTTGCGGCAACGCATGGATGACCAAGGCTGGGTGCCATTATCCCTGATTGCTGGCTTTCCCCAAGTAAGTTTGCAGGCCTTTTGAGTTGGTTTCTCAGTTAAAATCCACTCTGAATTTTTATTTTGTTTCTTAGCCAGCTGTTTACGCCCTGTTCGCTTGGCTTATAAGCCGTACTTTTTCAGCCAACGAACATTATTTTTTCTCTCACAACAAATCAGCTAACAGTACTTTCAGCCATGGCTTATCAGTCAAGCGAACAGGGCATTAGTGAGCTTGTGGGCATGTTCTGTGTAATTACTTCCACCAATGAATTAGAGGGACTGCATGTAGTGGGATGGATTCATTTAACTGAACAGCAAGATAGCCCTTACACAATTAATAAGAAACTGGATTATATTACTGATGTGGTTGATAACATGGATGGCACAGCTACATTGTCTTGTTGCATTCTAATCTCTTAGTAGTATCTGCTTTTAAGAAATCAGACTCCTTCACAGTTATGTTTGCAAGTGCTAATGTCAGTGTGGGCCGTTCGCCATACAATTAGGATAGCGATATGTGTTCCCGGGGGGGGGGGGGTATTTTTATTTTTCGACATTTTTTGCAGTGGTATTATTGTAGGCCTTAAGCTGAGTGTTGGTGAGGGAGCTGTTGACCAGGTTATGTGTCACATTTACTGGAGTTGTGGGTCACTTGAAACAGGGGTCAGTAGCTCTGAGGCACATTTTTGTCAAGGTTCATAACAAGTTGAGTCCATCCCTCCTAACAGCAGCGGGTACCTCCAATTTTTAGTGTACTCAGCTACACGTTTGTACAGGCTGTCTGATGATGCACTTAACTACTTATACCTTATTGCTCATAGCTTTGTATGAACCAAGACACAAACCTATTTCTTTTTCATAGGTTGAGCTGCTACAGATTTTTTGTATGGACCAAGTTCTGCCCATGTGCATGTTCATTCTAGCTTCAGTGGATAAGGGCGAACTCTTGAATTGTGAAGTAATATTCTATTGTCGATGGTGTCATACGATATTTTTCTCTTTCTAAGTTGCATGGTTCCTTTAAAATGTTACAATATGTGCTGCATTAGTTGGGTATGCGCACAGGCACAATCAATTTTCTTTTAGGATACCCCTGTCCAAGCTTTGACTGGGTTTTCTATAACTAATATAATACTTCTGATAGTTATGGGAAACTCACTGAGTAGGCTGGTGCTACATATTTAATGAATGATAGTTATATTGTAACAAACTTAGCTGAGCTCACATCAGAAGTTAGCGTGGCAAAGTATTGTACTATTGTCATAAGTGCAGAGGAAATATGGTTTGATTTCCCTTAGTTATCGAAGGCCATTTTGCTTTTTCTTTTTCAGGCACTCTGTATATTTGTCTTATGGGTACCATGTGGTTCCTTTTTCAGCATGATTTCATCCGCCACAAAGCCTGGCAGTGAACTGGTAAATAAGGGGGTGACTGCTTGCAGTGCAGTTGAGGGTTTGTCTTTAGGGTTTGAACTTTTGATCATATGCTTCTGGGATGCCCATTTCTTTCTTCTTGTTCATCACAAAGCCCCTAGTAGGAATTTGTCAGGTATTTTTACTCTCTGGGAATAATTGAAACTTGTTTTTTTTGAATCAGAACAGATTGGATTTTTTTTTTTCTTGAATGTGCAGGAGGGCTGCATATCATTTCATTAAAGAATAGAGTTCTTATTTACAAAATCCCCCAAACCCAACACCATGAAACTTAGTACATATTGGGATAATGGAGTACATAAGGTTTATGCCTCTGTTTCTGTTTGTCTTTTCTTTTGTGTGTAGCGTGCTTAGTCTATACTAGAAACCCAGGCGCGGCAGATCGTCCAGTTATTGGAGTCCATCATAATAACTTAAAGCAAAAGGTTGAGAGGTCATCACTGATAAGCGATGTTCTGCTTTTGGTGCTACATCCCGTGCTGATAGTTCGCCTTTGCTCTTCATTGTCAATAGTAATAAACAACATATCTCAAATGGAAATGAGCTTCAAATAAATACAAAATAAAAATAATCTTTTTATCATAAAAAATCATGGATTTAACAATCTCTTAATACGAATCCTGCACCAAACCGCGGGCACCCGCTAGGGCCACGTCACCCGTTAACCCGCTAACCGTTGGATCCGGCGGAAACACGATATGGACCGTTGGATCGGGCTCATCGCGGGTCTCCAACCCATTAAGTCACGAACCCGGAAGGCCGCGATTGTTGGCGAACCCGCTTGGCGGACGACCCGTCCTCTCCGCGGCGTCGGCGTGTCTCCCTCCTCCCACTGCTCCATCGTCCCCTGCCCCTCCTCCCTTCTCCCCCGCAGGCACTGAGGCACGGGTTGAGCACGGCGCCGGCGCGTCTCCCTCCTCCCGCTGCTCCATCGTCTCCTGCACCTCCTCCCTTCTCCCCCGCAGGCACCGAGGCACGGGTTGAGCAGGCAACGCCGGCATCACTTGGAGCGGGCAAATCGAGTGGGGCACGGGCGGATAGAATGGAGCGTGGGGCAGCGGCACCGGCCAGTATGAGACCATTTTACTGTAATAGATTTAACTAATTGATAATTTATTTGAAAAGAACTTGGGTACAAGTATTGGTTTGCTTGTATTTCCGGAAAAGGCCAATGTTAGGGGAAGTGGTCATTCCAATAGATTGCAGCTGATTATATATTGGATGCAGTAGTTCCTAGTATTGAACTCTGATTGACCAAATTATTCAAGAATGGGAGTATGTAACAAAGATGCAGCAGAGCAAGTATTATTTCAATTATTTAAATTTACAAACTGAGCTATGCGCGCCTGGTTAGGTTTGGTGAACTTGTTGCACCAGGGTTAGTTAACTATGCTTTTTTTTGCGCTATATTACTATAATTGATAGAATGTTATTTCATACGTGGGGTAATATTTACGTGTAGTCGAACGTGTATATATATATGGATCGTAAAGCCGGTAAAATCACTCAATCGTTTTGTTTTATGCGTGGTATGGGTAAGCTACCGTAAAAATTTCATAGCAATTTGAATAAAGAAACTAACTCTATTAATTATTTATAGAAAACTCTAGAGAAATCTAGATCCACATTAATAGCAAAAAAATTACACTAAAACATGTGATGTTATGTGTTTACAGTGCACTGCTAGATGTGTAGAGTTCAACAAACTTGGTTTGGTTTTTTTTTATTTGTTTTATTATGTTCTTTACAAAATTTCAACCGGTTTAGATAAATAATAAATTCGCAGGAAAATAGAAAAACATCGTCGGGCCGAATTCGGCCCAATAAGGCCCAGGTCCGGCAATATACAGACCCGAGCGGGAGGCAGGCCAGCCCATTTAAAAGGCTTGGATTGCAGGTTGATTTCGGTAAAGTTCGAGGGGTTTTTTGCAAAAAAAACCTGAGAGGAGGCCTGGACTGTGGGTTGATTCGACTAAAGTTCAAGATTTTTTTTGCAAAAAGACCGGGGCTCACACGATCTGGGCCGTCCGCCTGGCCGATCCGATGGCCGGGAAAAGCGGGCGATGTGGCCACGCTGCCTGGCCTTCTTTTGGTGCAGGATTCGTAGTAAAGAGATTCATTATAATGCATTTGTTAATACAAATGGTTTTGTGACACCAATATATCAAAGTGGATATTGTTAATTGAATATGGTATCTTTGTGGAGTATGACAGTCGAATCAGATAACCTTTTCGAGAATATTCAGATGTTTTGTACTTTTGTTCTTTTATTTGTTAAAGAGACGGTGTCACTCACCTACTTTTTATTAATAGGTCCAGAAGATTACTAATAATGTTCAGTTTATCTTGGAAACAGTCATGCTATCTAACGTTGTGGAAGTGCAGGTAATGTTTTCTTTGTGCTATTATTGTTATATGATTTGGCCAAGAAACATATAGGTTAATCACTAAACATATATGATTCATAACATTGAACATTAATTATAGAAAAATTATGGTCAAGATCATTTTCATTATCATATCTGTTAGCGTGAGATTTACCAGATATTTATTATTATTGATCCAGGCAAGTTTGTTAAGCCAGCAAGATGTAGTTACTGGTTAGATCATGCCATAGACTTTAGCTTCTTGTTATAGACCTAGAGCTTATTTATCTGACATGATATCTATAAACCAACAGAGTCTATATCATTTGATTGCTTTCTGAAGGGATGTTCTTTTCCTAGTATGACCATGGAAAATTTAGTATGAAATTGATTCAACATGGATCTACTGATCTTACAGGTTTTTGTTGTTCCTCGAGTGACTTTATATTCTTTAGGTTATAGGTAAATCTTCCGAATGCTTGAAAACAACATATTTTTCAGTCAATATACTAGGCCATGGGACCAGCACCCAACAATCTCAACCCTTAAGTGGTTTGTGTGTTTATCCAGTGCCCAGTACAGTGATTGAAAGATAAGTTGTTTTCAAACACTTGAAAGTTAGGAAGTCTCTTGATTAATTCATGTGATTGAAAGAGTTTCTTGGGTGGAAGTCTTGCCATCGATTACTATTCTCATTAGTTGATTCACTATAGGCCCATTTTTTTAAAAAAAATATGAGTACCAAAATGGAAAAGCGAGCCTTGCATTTGCATGTACAATTAGCAATAGGATAACGAAAATTGAGTCCTATCCCCAATGATCACAAGCCCCTAGCAGATGAGAGCATTAGGTACTACCGTACTAGCAACTTATTGCCTCTTATAAAAGTGTAGTGACTTAGCAATAAAGTTAGCTTTAACAAAGTGCAATTTTTTGTTCACCTGATGCTCCACTTGGTTAACACATATTAGATAATCTTATGTATTCTGTTTTGTTTTTGCCTTGTAATAATATACTAATGCATAGCCTAAAATTAGGAACTACTGTATTCCCTTCGACCCTTCTCACTTAAAGGACCCTTTCCTTTATGCTTAAACAGGGTGATAAACTACGAAGGCGTGGAGCATGGGAGAATTGGCTTCTTCCAAAACAAAATTATTCTGCTGGGAGTTCTTCTGGTTCGTTGTCCCCTGTGACATCCAACATTGATTCTCTGGCATATCAGTTTCGTTCTGTTGGACTTGAGGGGGCAACATACCATGCCAACATGCCAGGAATGCATGGTGAAGCTCTCCTGACAAGATCAGCAACTTCAGTTAGTCTAGGTTATCATGCATCAACCTTTGGTGGGCTACAGAGCAACGGGAGTGGACCTCTTTTTGGGCCGAAGTCTGCAAGAAATTTTCTCAGGAGTGATACCTTTTGAGGCTATATGTTCAAGAAATATGAAGTATAATGGCAGGCCGAGTTTTCACAGTAACGGCCTGCACACCTTATCTCGTGTGAGGTGAAAGATCAGTTGGTTAAAAAACAAAAAAAAAAGAAGACGGCAAAAGCATAATACCAAAAAAAAATAGAGATAGGCATAGACAAAGTACTGGAAAAAAACAAAAAAATGAAAATAAAAAAAAAAAAAAACGGGCATTGGCAGCTTTTGTGTTGGTACTCCTGTCCTTTGTGTTATGTGGTCCTAGTAGGTTTGTTTTCGAATGCTAGCAGTTTGATGGCTGTTTTGTGTAAACCGAGTTATTAAAGTGTCATGGATGGTATCATTCGGAAACTGTTGAGTGGACAAAGTTATATAAAAGTACATGACATTATTATTAGTTCTGCTGCTCCCTGCAGATTTGTGCGATTTCGATTTAACCTGCATTTCTGGTTTTGGAGGTTATGTCTTTTATTAAATCATAGCAGTGGTTAGCAGCTTGACCGTGGGAGTTGTGATGAAACCCCAGTTTTTAGCGGTTCTTGGTTGTGTGTTTTACGGCTGCTTTCAGAAATCATCCAGTTGTGTGCAGATTGCATTGGAAATTTATGGTAGCTTTCGCTGTACTAGTTGAAATGAAATTGCTAGCTGTCCACTGTAACATTTGTGGTCGGGTTTCTATAAAACCAATGCAAACCATTGCATATTTAAGTTGTCTATCTGGGTCCGTTTGCGCGCATATATTTAGCAGTTTGGTAAATAAGCTTGCGATGGTTGTCAGTAGGAAGTAGAAGATAATGAAAATGACTGATCCAGGAAGAGTTAAGAAAGAACATGGTTTTATGCGGGAATAATAGGACTAAGCGCAACGTTGTAACGAGCTATGAGCCCATGACAGTGAAACTGCCTCCAAAACTGTTATATATAGGGTTTCGTCGGTGAAGGGGTTAAGTGGAAGAACCCTTGATCCTTTCTCTGTCAGCAGCGAACTAGCAACAGAGAGTGATGTAGGCATTTCTTTGTGAGCAATGGGAGTCTAGTTCTAAACAACAAAACCAAAGCCAAGTTTTCATCTCAACATTCAACAGAAGTACGTACTCCACAATGGGAGTAGTAATAATTTACATTTGCACAAAACTGCATTACAGCTATCACAGCAACAGAGAGGAAGGTAGGGAACATTCCAGAACTCCACAAGCACGGCATGTACTTAGTATATGAGACGAGAAGCGGCAGCACATTCACATGACGGCGCAGGAGTTCGGGTTGTCGTCGCTGAAGGCGGTGGTGTACCTCTCCTCCATGGAGCTGGCCCTGACGAGCGGCGCGGCGTCGGGGTCGTCGAGCACGTTGCGGACGTACCCGGGCGGCGCCTTCTTGTCGTAGGCACCCGGGGCGTAGGGGTGCGGCACCACCTCGTACGGCACGTAGGGCCACGGCTGCGCCTCCTTGCCGGCCCGCCGCCGCAGCCGCTCCATCACCTCCGACGCCTCCACGTACCCGGACACGGATACCTTGTTCTGCTTCGGGTCCACCTCCACGCTGCTCATGCCTGCACTCACGGTGGTGCACCGCGGAGACACTAGGCTGTTAGTTAGTTGCTCGATCGGCGGCCGGACGGAGAACGCACGGCACGGCAGGGCACGCACCTTTCATGTCCTCCAATGCCTTCTTGACCCTGCGCTCGCACCCCTCGCTGTCCATCCGCACCAACAGCTCCACCGTCTGGAATTCCTTGCGCTTCTTCTTGCCGGGGACTTTGGCCGGCAGAAGGCAGAGCTCGGCGATGAGGTCGTCGACGCGAAGCATTCCGTTCCGATCGACCGTGCTGCTGGATCCGATGTATTTGGCCGGCCGACGAAGAGGTCTCGAGGTCGCGGTGGTTTGGCTTGGCTTTCCGAGACGGGGTACCTGCTGCTGTCTGAATAATGTTTGATGCGGTCGTTGCGCCTTTACCCCGGTACTTATACAGCGACGGACATGGCTCGTCGGATAGCTTGAGATGCTTCCCGCGTTTCGGAGGCCGCCAGCATCTTGATCGCGTTCATGGTTTATACATGCTGTCATGTCCAACAGAACAGTCGAAGTCTGAATCATTCTGATCCTGATTGCAGGGTCAAGAGGTTCTAGGAGTAGCAGCATCTGCTGTTTATTTCAGCGCCGCCAGCTTCTACCGTCACTCCCTCTCTCTTTTTTCACGTCCTTTCAGCCCGCTTGGAACACGAGAAATCTTCCGCGTTTGTATATTTTTTGTTTCTATAAAAATAAAACTGTACTGATTTTAGTGAAATTTCTGTATAATTTCTATAAAGTTCTTGTGTTATAAATGGAGCGTCAATCTTTGTGCTACTCTTAGTATAGTCGTATCAGTTTGAAACCAAGCAGGCAAGCAAGCCTCCCCTTTCTTGCTCGACTGCTTTCGACAATCCAGTGGCTGCAGGAGAAAATCATGTGAGAAGAGGGAGTAGCCCAGGATTGGCTGCAGGGCCCTCATCCTTTTTAGAGAGGCATCTGGATCCTTCCCTCTAAATTCTTCTAAACCACACGCGACGTGATTAGTAAAAGATAATGAATTGGGGCCCTGGTCCGTTGCTTTTGCCGGCGACCCAAGGGCGAGTGTGTGTTTTCTCCGCAACTCCCGAATCTTCTGTACTTTTTTTACTAGGATTTCTGTTCCACTAAATCCTGTCGGGGAAGGCCGGAAGGTAAGAACAGCAGCGCCAACCTTCTCTGATTGCTAGCTATGACTGCATCTGCGGCTGAAGCAGATGCTACAGAACTGTAGGGCTTTCCAAACAGTTAACAGCCCGTCCGCTCCTCATATGCAGTAACACCGCACAGTGATACCCTTCTATAGGGGGAAAAAAGCAGATGATACAGAGCAGAAAATCAGTGTGAAGTGAGCAGGTGCCAGGTCATGTTGCAGCAGTATACATGTAGTCTCACAAACAATAACCATCTATTATCAAACTAATTGCCAACAATGCTCTTACAGAAAAACAATATCGCGCCGAGTAAACACACGTAGTAGCTAACATCAGTACAGGCTGAACCCAAAGAACTGCCCAACCAGAAGAGCTAGACCCATGCCTATAGCTACAAGTGAAGCAGCCCAGGTCAGTTTCTCTGTTATCCTGGGAACCTTCTCTTTCAGGGCCTCACTGCAAGAACCTACAAAAGCAGTGTAACTCCCCATCGAAAACACAGTGCCGACCAGGAACATGCCAAGGAAAGCCGCGCCAGCAAAGCGCGACGGAAGAGCCAATGCTGGTAGGACCATCAGCATTGCATCCGGTTGGAGACCATGGACGACTCCGGTGGCGAATGTCGCAAAACTGACTTTCTTTTTCCGGGGAGTTGAAGGGGACTGCAAAGGGTCGTTGTTGCTCATGCTGGCATCAATGCCCTCCAACACTAGTGAGGACTCTTGAGCCTCTGAAGCTTCCCGAACACCCATGGCTCCTATGATCAGAAGGGTCAGGCCTACAACTCTTGTTCCCCATGCACGGAAAACCTCAATGTGCAATCGATCTTTGAGTAACAAGAAGAGCAGGCCAAAAATGACTTGTCCTGCATCATGACCACAGCCCCAAAGGGCACCAACCAGTCCACTTTCAAGTCTGGATCTCCCAATTGACAGTGGCGCCAAGGCAACTAGATGGTCTGGCCCAGACAAGGTATGTAAGCACCCAGCTAAAAAACCAGCCCATCCACTGCTTAGTATCTCTGTCGTGAGGAGTCTTCCACCAGTTTTGGCAACTGGTTGCATCGATGCATAGGCAGGAAGGCTAGAGTGCACGGAGCTAGTAACAAGTGTCATCAATAGGAAAAGGGCAGCAGTGGAAGCCTGTAATACACAAAATTTAACACGTCAGAACAGGACGGAAAGAAAGATCAGCAAGAAATTTCAAAACTAATGACCAATGGCATTAGCTGGTAGATGACAAGATCCTATCGCGCGACCAGATCATAGTAAAGCACAAATCAAGCAAAACATACCAACATGTGACTGAAAATAATTTAATCAGATTTAACCTCACGGTATACAACTTGATAAAAGCATACAATGCCCTATGACGTGCGATGTTCTTACAAAATATGAACCTGTGACTAGCACCAGAAACATGAATAGTAACTATCCTTGGTACTCTTTATAAATGAATGTGTTGTACTTCCATACTCAAATTGATCTCCAATTTCACACACAAGTTATTACAAGCATATATGTTTCTGTGCATTGAGCTTTTTAAAGAAAAATCAGTTCCCAATGCACCACCATCAAGAAGTCCCCTCAGCACCAAAGCACCAAAACACATGTCAGTACCAGAATTTATCATCAGTTAAACAAAAATTCCTCCAAACGGTTTTAAATCACCAAGCCAATATCCAGAGTAGGCAAATGATACATGTGAATAAGAAAGCTAACATGATTATCACTGATCGGCACATATCGAGTCTCTACACACATTAAAATTGAAATCACCTTGAGTAAAAGAAAACATCCTATTATTTGAAACAGGAAATGGTGTGATAAACCAATTGAACAGCAAAGGCCTTCAATTATCACACTCTATCATTCATTTAGGAGAAGAACACTGACTATGCAGCTTGTTTCGAGCATTAAACATATATATGACCAATTCAGGTACACTCCCCAGGAAATATCAACAAAGTATAATAATGAACAAAAGCAATTCACCCAACAGAACACAGAAAGCAAGCTCAGCACCTTATCAAGATGCATCGACATAAACATTCAACACCAAAATACACCATCTCAACTAAAAACTGCGCGGTTTCACATCACATTTGAATTTGAACTGACTGAATTACAGGACCAATACTCCTATGACCACAAGCACTTGGGGGGTCCTTGCAAGGTATCTGGGCTTGATTTGTCAGCAAACCATAAAACAAACTTTGTCCAGACTTCTCAGAACAAACTCAGAGGTGCCAGTTCCATAAAGTGTTACAATTTCCAAATCAAACGGCACGACATT